AAAAACAACGACATTTTGCAATAAATGTCATTATCATAGTGACATTTTGGACCAAATGTCATTATTTTTACGACATTTGACATCAAATGTCATTGTATTATGACGTTTTGTTCTTAAATGTCGTGAAATTCTTTATTTTCCGACATTTGTTTCAAATGACACCAAATTAATGTCGTCGTATGTACATTTTCTTGTAGTGTGGTTCCCACAACCCTAGTTGTGGATTTCATAACTTATGCTTGAGAGTTCACAATTCATAATAGATGAGAAAAATTCTTGAACTTACAAGTAGAATTGATGAAACCCGAAATCTTCAATTGAATTTCATAGCGAAAATCTTATGAAACGACATCCGGAAAGTTAATTGCTAAGGGTTTGCAAATTAATTCCCAAAGAACAAAACTAAAACCTTACAATAATGTCTAACCCCCAAAAATGAGGATTACAACTCCTATTTATAGAAAACAAATCTTAAATAAAACAGGAAACAAAATAAGGAAATAAACTGCGAGAACGGGGCTTTTGTCAATGGCACGACCTACGGACCGTGGATCGACCTACTGTTTGTAGGTCACCCTCTATGGTTCAACATTTAGAAACTTTCATCAGGTACTGGAACCTTCAGCTCCCAGATCATCAATGACGGATGTGCAGGACGGACTGTGGGTCGACCAACGGTCCGTCGTCTGCTCCGTGGTCAACTTAAACTTGTTGTTTGTCCTCAAGCGACACACTAAACTCTAAACGACACTTATGTAGAAGTAGACATACAAACTCAAGCAATCAAATGACTTTCTCAATCAATTCCATCATATTAGTGCAAATCTTTTCATCTAGACTCAACAAGCTAACTCATGTGGATCAAAACATCACATAGATTGACCAATAGACACCATAACATACACTTTTAACAATCACCAAGGTACCAATTTTCCAACAATGTAACTAGTGCCTACACTTCAAAAGAAATCCTTTTTTTCACACAAATAGATATATAGTTCATATTTAAGGATTCATTCAACACTCACGCTCAGAAGTGACTTCAAGTAGAGTTAGTGCTCAATACCATAGGCTTACCCTTATTTTCACTGAATAGACTCTCCAAACTAGTCACTAGGATCACTAGGACTTTCTTAGCTTGTAACGTAGGCTCAAGTTCAGGTATGATACATTTGGGTACTTTTTAATGACTATTATGCTCTCATGGACATTACATTGGCTTTGTACCTCTTTCCTCAACCAATTCTTGACATCTTTTCATTTTCTTTTCTTTCTATTGACTCTCTTCAACACATATGTGACTTTTGACTTTATAGCTCATATTTTTCACTTTTTTTCTTTTTCTTCTACTTCATTTTTCTTTGTTTCTTTCAGCACTTTTTCCCTTCATCTTTTTACTTCTTTTGGATAAAGTCACATCATTTTCTATATTTTCTTTCTTCAACACAAAACTCTTTTCATACTCTTTTTATTTCAGTTTCCTTTTTCATAGTCATCCTCAACTTATGTATTTTGCATTAGTTGAGGTGCACAATATCCGATGTCGGACCGGGGCCAAGATCAAGGTAACTTTTTGAATTTGCCACCCTCAACTTAGGCTTTAGGCCTAAGTCAAGATGCACATGTCCAAGGAGGGACCATAGCCAAAAAAATTATTTTAGGGAAGGTGAGTTAGGTGTATTGAAAGAAGTGGTCTACATTAGGCTCAAACATTTTGATAAAAGGGAACATTTATTTCATTTGGTTGGATCATTTTAGGCTTGAGTAGACTTATTCGAACAAGGGCTTATGATCATTTCCCACCTTCTATCCAAAACTATCTTAGCAGGACCAACAGGGCAAGTTCTAGATTGGCACATATTGTATGAACATTCAAACTTTTCTCACACACACTTGGCACATTGTTTCATTATCAGATTATAAGATTAGCCAGTTCAAGTTCTAGCTTAAGTCATGAGGTCAAACCGGTTCCTTATCATGTCATATTGAGATCAAACACATTCAACTCATCAAGCCTATAGATCTAGCACATTTCAAAACTTTTGGACGGGTATCAATTTCATACTCTTTATGCCATCATGGTTTCATTCTTCTACTTATTCCTACACATACATTTCTAAACATGTCGGTTCAACATAAAAGTAAACAGTTCTTTGGGAGAAAAGAACAAAGGCAAGAAAACCCTAAGAAGGATTATGAGTTGGTTACTCAAACTTTATCATATCACTCACAATCCATTTACCCCACCCCAACAAAATAAGGTGCAATTTCCCTCAATGACAAAAAATCAAAAGTAAAGCATAGGGTGAAGCAAACCTGTGGCGCAAATGTGCCGAAGACCTCTCAAGAAGCAGGTGGGTCTAGTTTCCCGAATAGGTTGGTCATCACCAC